ATCTTGATCAACTAGTGTGAAGGTTATCTAGCAGAGAAATCGAAAGAATTATAAAATTATCATTACTTTTTATAAAATTTTATTTGCTTCCTACTAGAAGAATTGTGGCAAAATTAATTAACAAATAAGACTACTATGGCTATGATTAATCCTTTATGATTTGACGCTTTCTTCTGCTACCTTCATACATTACATTACTCTGGTGATAAGAGAGCAAAAATATTCTGTGCCTTTTAAAAACAAAAACTGCCTTATTTGCACAAATATTCATGATTCATCTAAGACAAATAGAATAGGCTGAGTTCGCAATAACTCATGACAAGCAAAAGATATACTCAAAGTGAACATCATTTAGAAAAAACTCCAATACGTAATTTTAACGAGGTGAAATTTCCTTACAACTGAACTTATGTTTTATTGTCTGAATGAGAATCACGGGTGAAGTCATATATTCTCTTCACGGTTCATTGAATCCTTATAATAAATTCGATACAATTTGTTCAATTATGATTGATTAAAGAAGACATTTATGATACGGAGACATGCTAAGTTGTGCCGGAAATGAGTGTATGAGTCAATAGAATTTGCAAGAAAATAAGTTAGGAAATGAAGGATCTATTAAAGTAAAATAAAATGAAGTAGTAGTGTAAGAGACACGACATGAAAATAGGTGAAAGAGCACAGAAAATGAAAGTCAAATATCAAAGTCCGAAAATATAAACTATAGGACACTATAGATAGAAAAAGCCAATATCAAAATTAGAGTAGCAAATATGAAAAATCGAAAAGAGCTGAGATGAATAGTCAATCAAATGTGTGTCTTCTAATGCAATTCATAACCCTTAAAATAGTGCAAATGAATATATATACAGGGTAATAATTAAATGTATAACATAAACTTTAATTCTTAAATTGAAAATATGAAGACCAAAATCTTGTGGCCTCTAGTATGGTCGCAGTCTCGCTTCGACCTATAAAAAGTGGGTTGACCTCGTTGTCGCAACTTGGTATTATTGTCAGGGCGACTTGGTACATTCTCAAACGTTTCGCCGGCATCGTAGTCGGCATCATCAGTCAGTTTTGCCATTCTCCACACCAATCTACACAG